AATCACCGCAAACGTATTTGTTTTAGGGATAATTAATGATCCATTGATTATTTCTCGCTGACCGGACTTTTCCTTTAAGATTGATCAGAAAATATGAATCAGGAACCAGAAGGTTCTGAGAACCCGTGGAGTCCGGATTGTTTTCACGTTGAGTTTTATTGGATGTGTGAGCAGAGCTGAGTGTCTGTGGGTGTGAATGCGCCCCAATGGGGGGCTCTGTCCAAGTCCGTTTTTTTTTTTTTACTCACCTGTTTAAATTTCTCACCTTCATGTTGTTTATAGTTTCAGAGCAAAAACTGATGTTTTTATTTCAGTTTATTAATAATATAATAACCAGGGAATGTTGTATATATTTGAAACTTGTGAAGTCCTCAGCAGAAGGATGGAGGCAGACTGTACCTTCACATCATTTTACAGAAAATAAACCACCCTGCAGAAGTGCTGCCCCCTGCTGTCTGTTTCTGGTATCAACCTGTCTTTATTCTGTTTGTGTGAAAGTTAAAATGTGAAGGTTGGAACCGACAGTCCAGAGGAAGGTCAAAAGGTTCAGCATCGGTTTGGAGGAGCTGACAGAAAGTATTGACACCCCTAAGCTGCTTCTGCTCCAGCAGCAGACTGAACAGAGCAGATCTGAGAGACAGAAGCTGAAACATTCTGGAATCAACTCCAACCAGTTAGAAACACCAGTTAGAAAACAGCAAACACCAGAGAACAACCCAGCAGAGAAGGTTCTGCTTCATCTAGACCAGGAGTCACCTATTAAAACTCAGTTGGTCCGAATAAAGAAAATAATCAACCAGAAAAGATCCAGAGACATTTTTAATGATCCGTTACTTTAAACAGAATTTAACACTGAAATAAAAAGAGATTTTTATGTATCCATGTTTTAAATAAAACAAACAGAAAAAAAAAGGATAGAACTTTTTTTTTTGCAGTAGAGAATAATACTTTGTGCTAAGCCGAGGTAGAAAGATTGCAAAAATAAATATGTTTTTTAAAAAGTAGAATATCTTAGATTAGAGCTGGGCACTTTATAGCATTTGCAATTTTAACAAAACGTAATTGTCAAATAATATTAGAGGCCCTGATTTTTATTCACTATAGATCAGCGGTGTCCAAATAAAGATAAATAAAATCATCAACCAGTAAAGATCTGGAGACGTTTTTAATTATAATCTGTTACTTTAAACAGAAGTTAACACTGAAATAAAAAGAGCTGTTTATGCATCCATGTTATACATTAAATTTTTAAATTATATAAAAAAATAGAAATTTTTTCCATTTAAAAAATCGAAATTATTTTAGAAGTAGAGAAAAACAATCATTCAGTTTGGTTTATAAACTATTTCCTGATTCAGTTTTTTTTTTATAAAACACCTGAACTGACTGTTATTTTCTTTCTTTTTTCTGTCTTAATGTTGGCAGTGGGCTTTAGGCTGCCCTGCAAGGCTTTAAACCTGGGTTTAACTTAGAGATGTCCTGATCCAGGTTTTTGCACTTCCGATCCGATACCGATATTGTTTTTGGACTTC